CTAGTGGAGGCGGTCTTTACAATGATACTGGCAGGCTCCAAAGCAGGGTCTCCTCTGCCCCACATGGTCCCTACTGTAACATGATAGATAAAAGACCCAGAGACAGATATTGGGGTTCAAACTTCAAGCTGAAGATCAGAAAAGCAAAGCAGCCAGCCACTAGTTCTTACCTCTATTTCAGATCCTATCTCCACCAAACCTCAGACTAAAATCCTAAACTGCTAAGCTCTCCTCAGCATGCTGGAGAATACTGAGACTGAATACTGGGACCCTATTCCTGTCTCTTATACCTCTCTACTGCTGGGATTAAAGTGAGAACTCTGTTACTTTTTCAGACTTATTCAACTTGGTGTAGTGCTGGGTGGCCTTGAACCCGGAGAGATCCATCTGCCTGTGTCTCCTAAGTACTTAGATTAATGCCTGGCTTCCATGGCTAACTACTAGTATGGGCTACTTTGCTATTTTGGTCTCTAGTTGCTTTAGTAAATCATAAACAATATATCATCACACCCTACTCTAGGAAGCAGCTGTTATAAGGAAGAAATCACAAAGCCTGGCCTCCCCAATCCCTATGGGGCAGACACTGTTAACTACTGATCTTTTCATGCACCTACTGTGCTCCTGGGAAAATGGAATCACTGGTGCATTGGTTTCCGGCTTTTCAATGTCCTTTAAAATTTTTATTTTTCTTAAGAGACTGGGGTCTCATTCTCAGCTCTTAGATTCCTAGTCTGAAACACCCTCCCAGAATATTTTGGACCATAGGTATGCATCACTGTGCCAAGCACTTTCAAAAAATTAATGATAGGGAATTCCAAACACATATAAAGAGAAACTGTAGTGTCTTAGTTAGGGTTCTATTGATGTGAAGAGACATCATGAACACAGCAACTCTTTTTTTTTCACAATTCATTTTATTCTTACTTTCATAAAACACACAGAGATTATATGTATAGCTATTTATATCTTTACATTTGCAACACATCTCTGAAACCATCACCCAGATCAACAAAATAGAACGTTTCTTTCATTATTGTGTTTTCCATTGTTTCTCATCCCTTCTCTTTAGTGATTTCCTGTCCAACATATAATTACCATTTTCATTTCAAATACATTATTTATTGTTACTAGCTCTGGGCATCATATACTCTTTTATGTCAAACTTGGTCTATGAAATGTACACCACAGAATCTATTTTTGCTTACTTCTCTTACTATTTAAGTTACATAATTGAAATTATCATGGGCACTAGTAAAAGTAGGTCTCTAAACTAAATGTAAATAAACTTTCTGATGGCATAATTTAGATTATTTAAATAATACTGCTTGTAACTTTTCAGTCATTAAACTGATTTAGACTTGACAATAGAATAGGCTAAGAACTTTGAAAATGTTGGGAAATAGGGCATGCGAGTGTGAGTCATTATGATCAGAAGAATAAGTGCATAGCATAAATTGCATACAATTCCCAAAATGTATTTGTAGAGCCAGGAGTTATTTAGAAATGGTGGCTCTGGAGATATAATATGGTTAGAAAGCCCTCAGCATCAGTATGGCCACTCTTGTGCTTGGCACCCATTTTTAAGTTAAGTTAGCTCCTGCTACAGAGAAGAGTCATCTGGAAGACACTCCTACTGGTGGGAAGGCAGACGAGGTGATGTGCTAGCAAGACTATTCTTCTCAACATATAGTTTTCACTCAGGGAAGCGTAGAGGAAGACATGATAAGATTGTACCACACTGCTCAAGATTTCAAAATTATCCATTGTTTATGTTTTTGGAGTTTAACATAGTTATCATGACCTCAGACAACTAAAACTTAGAAAACAAAGTGGTAGATACATGAGACCTCTATAGATTATCTCAGATGGTTACTACTGAGATTACATATGTGGGCCCTGTCTTCTTTAGAGAACACCAGTCCTACTGAGATCAGGACCCATCCTAAGATAGTCTGGATTCATTTGAACACAGCAACTCTTATAAGGAAAACATTTCATTGTCGTGGCTTTCTTACATTTTCAGATGATTAGTCCATTATCATCATGGTGAGACATAATGGTCTTCAGGCAGACATGGTGCTGGAGAAGTAGCCAAGTGTCCTACATCTTGACTTGCAGGCAACAGGAAGTGGTCATCTGAGATACTGGACATATCTTGGGCATGTATGAGACCTCAAAGCCTGACTCCATGGTGGCACACTTCCACTAACAAGACTACACCTACTCCAACAAGGCCACACCTACTAATAGTACCACTCCCTATAAGATTGTGGGGGCCAATTACATTTGAACTACCACAAGTAGCTACTTTGCAACCATCATCCAAACCAAGCCACCAACCCTAGCCAATCTCGCTTCACACACCTCCATCAATACCCTACCCTCCAACACTGTATTTTTGTATTATCAATTATATTTTTATTTTATATGCGTGCATACCACAGCACATGTGTGAAAGAAAGTCAGAGGACAACTCTCTGGCATCTATTTCCTTCCTCCTTCATGTGGCTCCTAGGAATTGAACTCAGGTCTCCAGGCTTATATGACAAGCATTTTACCCGATGGGCCATCACACTGGCCCTCCAACTATATTGTTTTGATGCAAATTCTAGACACTATATCATTTCACCTGTGAATAGTTTACCATTTATTTACTTACTTACTTATTTATTTATTTATTTATTTATTTATTTGAAACAGGGTTTCTGTGTATAGCCATGGCTGTCCTGGAATTGCTCTGTAGACCAGGCTGGTCTTGAATTCAGAGATCTGCCAGCCTCTGCTTCCCTAGTATTGGGATTAAACTATCATCATACCCAGCTTACAGACTTATTTTGAATTATGTATATGTGTGTAGAATGCACATGAGAGCAGCTGCTGGCAATGTCTACAAAAGGGCAGTGGATCCTGTTGGAGCTCAAGTCACAGGTGGTTGTGAGCCACCTGATGTACAAGTGCTGGGAACTGAACTCAGGTCCTATGAAGGAGCAGTATGGGCTCTAAACTGTTGAGCCAACTCTCCAGACTGTGAACCTGGTTTAAGTTTCTTTACCATTTAAGTATTTAATGTGTTGAGTTCCCTAGAGTTATTTTTAGTATATAAGTCCAAAATGTCCTTTTGTAAGAGGCATACACCTTTCAAGTTGTATTCTGTGTAGTCTTCCATCCGGATGTTCTCTGAAGCTCCCAGCCTTTCTAAAATTCTTTGATTTTTTTCTATTGCACTGTGATAGAAAAAAAATCTCAGCTGCTGAAGCTACTTGTGCCAAGTACCTTCAATGGACCATTTCTCTCATATGTAAAGTGGGCATAATAGCACCTTTCACAGAGTTAAGACTGGGTTAGTGATTTTAAAGAAATTGGAACAATAGCACCTGTAAGCACAGGCCTCCCTCAGAACTCACGGAGGAATGGTCCCAGGCCTTCAGGGTCCCCAAATCCATATATGTTCAAGTCCCTCCTATAAAATGGCACAGTTGGCTTGGGAGAGAGCTTGCCATTAAGCACAGAGCCCCAGGTTTGAGCCTAAGCCCCCTATAAACTGGGCATGGTGGTACAGACCTATATCAATACTATAGAGGTGGAGGAAAGGTAAGAAATTCAGGATCACTCCTCCATATATAGCAATTTGAGGCCAGCCTGGGCTACAGGAGACCTTATTTCAAAAGGGGGCAGAGCCAAATATTTGCATATGGAAATTTTAAATAATCTCTGGGTTACTTGTGATACTTGATACAGTATATATAGTGTATAGTATTTTGATCCTTGGTTGGTTGAGTCTTTGGATGTAGATGAACAGCTATGAAAGTCAGATTTACTTGTCAAATCAACAAGATTCCTGTGGGACAATGGAAACATTTCTTCCCCATCCCACCAGCAGAGCCTGACAAACTGTCTCAAACAATTTTCAACCAGCAGACACAGCTGTCTAGCTGGGACATCTCTTTTGACCCTCTAATAGGCAGCAACAGTCTCACTTCCAGCCTGAGAGCCAGGAATACGATCTCAACTACTCTAAGATGACTGACACTCACATAGACAACTGTCCTTCCACCCCAAGGTGTCAGAAGTCCTGCTTCTGGAAATGGCTGACCAGAACCAAAACTTCACAGCTCTAGATTCAGCCATGTACCTGAATGGGTTCAAAATGTCCCAAACCAGTGCTTTCCAGAAGAAGGAGAGGGAGAGGCCTCCCCTAGGAAGTCTGCCCCATCATCTCCTTGAGACAGGACCAAGGCACCTCCCACCCCCCACCCCTATGTCTAGGCTAGGCAAGGTATCTCTCCATATAGAATGGGCTCCACTAAGTCAGTTTGTGCTTTAGCGTTAGATCTTGGACCCACTGCCAGTGGCCTCATATATTGTCCCAGTCTCACCATTGTCACCTATATTAAGGGAGTCTAGTTCAGAGCAGATAGGAGGTTGGTGGAGAACTGGGGAGAGCTGGAGGAGAGGAGGAAGGGGGAATTGGGATTGGAATGTAAAAAATAAATTAATATAAAATTTTAAAAAAAAGAAACAGGTGGCTGGGCAGTGGTGGCAAATGCCTTTGATCCCAACACTCAGGAGGCAGAGGCAAGCAGATCTCTGAGTTCAAGGCCATCCTGCTCTACAGAGCTAGTTCCAGGACAGCTAGGGCTACACAGAGAAACCCTGTCTTGGGGGGGGGGGACTGGTTGTCTAGGGGAGTTTCTTAGGCTCAAAGCTGCTCTTGGGCCTGCTGCAACTATACTTCAGCCCCCCCAGCCCTTTTGCTGTATGAACACTGGAATGTTGGGGAGTGTCGTTTAGCTGTCATCATGGCTTTCCTCATTTACCTGTGTGGCCTGGGGTGAGCAAGGGGGGGCCACAGCAGGTGAGGAACACACCCACCAAATTAAGCTCTGCTCCTTATCACCTCCTTTTATAATGTCCACCATTCCCTGCTAACCCCACCCTCAACTCCTTCTATAATGACCTCTGTTCCAGTGATAACCCCATTCTGACCCTCTTTTATACAGAAAGGAAAGAAAGTCACTTGGCTCCAAAATGGCATCAGGAAATACAAAGACAAGCCTCAAGAATGCCTACCCCTCTGCCAAGAGGTTGTCCTTGCAGGAGGGAGAGGGAGAGGCTGAGGGCTACTGTACTCCTGGAGCCTTCGAGCTGGAGCGCCTCTTCTGGAAAGGCAGCCCCCAGTACACTCACGTCAACGAGGTTTGGCCAAGGCTCCACATCGGTGATGAGTAAGTTCTAAACCCAGCCTTACACTGCCCGTATTGCCCTTCAGTAGCCCTGGGGAAGGTGCAAGTGCTTCCTTGATCATTCTGTCCTAACTCCTAGTCACAAGCTTTCCAGGTCAGCTGTTTTATGAGGAGGATATTACCTAGGGCTCACCTTCATTTTACAGAAAAGGCCCTTCTGCAAGGCAGGTTTATTTTTCTCTTGTGTATAAGTCCAAAGGAGGGCTATCAGGGGTGAGCATGGTGACTTCAGGGGTGCCGAAAAATGAGGGCTTCTATGCGTGAGACCCTTCTACAAGGTTGCTCAGGATCCAGAATCTTCACAGGGCTCTGCTATGAATCACAGGGCCCAGATAATAGGAAAGTTAGGAGAAAGGAAGGCAAGAAGGGCAGCTTGCCAGAGGAAGTCTAGTTTAAGGCTTCTGCTGCACCTATCTCAAGGTAAAGAAACTGAGTTCCAGAGCTGTTTAGTAAGTACTCTATATCCTAAAATCTTGAAGACAGAGAGCCAAAGTTCATGACTTCTACTTCACTGGCCCCATCATCCTTCTAAACTTCATTCCCTGCCTGTCCTTAGAGCAGATGCACAGGACCCCTATACATGTTAATACCCAGCTGGTGCCAGGCAGTGGTGGCACCCACCATTAATCCCAGCACTCAGGAGGCTAGCCTGGTCTACAGAATGAGTTCGAGGACATGTATGCCTGCAGGCCAGAAGAGGACATCAGATCCTATTATAGTTGATGCTGGGACTTCAACTCAGGACATCTGGAAAAGCAGCCAGTGCTCTTAACCACTAAGCCACCTCTCCAACCCCTTTAAGAGCATTTTTATTGCATATTTGTGTGCATGCCTGAAAGTACAAGTCACGATATATGCTTGGAGGCCAGAGGACAATTAGCTGAGGTTGGTTCTTTCTCTACCATGTGGGAACCAGGGATTGAACTCAGTATGTAAAGCAAGCACCTTTACATACTGAACATCTGGCTTACCTCCGAGTATCAAGTTCATGTGCTAGTTCTACTCTCCATGTGCTATTTCAAACACAAGGAAACATATACATCCACATTTGAGGCATTTTCATTTCTTTTACACAGGTTGATCTTTTTTCTAAAGAATTTATTTTCATTATATATACATATGTATGTCTGGGAGCGGAGGATGAAGAGGCATGCAGGTGCCAGCACAAGCCAGGGTGTCAGAGTCGTCATCCCCTGGAGCTGTAGTTATGGGCAGTTATAAGATGCCCAAGGTGGGTGCTGGGAGCCACTGGGGTCCTCTTCAAGAGGAGGGTGAGCTCTTACCTGCTGAGCTGTCTCTTCAGCTTCACCAATGGGTGTTTCATTTTGTTTGTTGAGACAGTGTCTCAGTAGCCTTCACCTCCTGGCTTTCTTGCCTCACCCCCCTCAAGCACTGGGTTCAGAGGCATGTGCTGCCACATCGGGCTCAAACAATTTCTTCTTAGAAAACAAATGCCACTATGTCTGCTGTTCTGAATTTTTAATATTCCACAGTACAACTAAGGTACAATCTGTCCGGTCGTTTCCCAGTTGAGAACATTAGGGGAACTCAGGCGAGGGGTGCACAGAACTGAATGTATTGTTTTCTCTCAGCATTCAGCTCTACTGGGATATAATTCATATACCATAAAACCCATCCTCTTAAATCGTACAATTCAGTGATTTTATTATATTCACAGAATTATGCAACTGTCTCCACTATCTAATTGCAGAACATTTTTTGTCATCTCAAGAGGAAACCAGGATCCATTAAGCAGTCACTCCTGACTCCTCACCTTCCTCAGGCCCCTGCAGCCACCACTCAACCTTCTGGTTTTATACACTGGCCTAATCTTGGCATTGTGTGGCAATGGTGGGCTTTTGTAACTGGCTTGTTTTTCCTCTACATCCCCTTCACAGTTCATCTATGCTGTGGAATGTCTTGATGCTGCATTCACTTTTAATACTAAACAACCTCTGTGCTATATTTGTAAATATTCCATAAGTCAAATTTAGTTTTTGTCAAAGAGATCTCATGGCAGTACAACCAGGTGAGACTATCACCCCAGCAGTAGGAAACTCAGGAAGGCCTGAGTTTCTTGGTCTCTCTAGAGGTAATGCCCAATGCTCAAAGCCAGTACCACAGGCATAAAGCCTAAATTTTGTTCAGTATTTCTACTGAGGATGAATTTTTCTCTTACCCATAAAGTACCTAAGATTTCTGAAAGTCAGGCACCATATTCTGGAAGAGAGTTTGGAAGGCAATCCAGACTCAGGAGTAAGGATGGATGGATATTCTGAACCATCCACTATCTATTGCTGGAGCCTAGGCCAATGACTCTTGGGACTTGGTAGTGCCCAGAGTTATCCCCAAGATGACATCCATTCTTTTTCCTTCAGGCCCTCTTTGTGGAAATAAGCAGATAGATGAGCTCTTGGGCCATAATGTCTGATTTTTGTAGGACTTTTGCCTAGCTATCAAGCTCTCTGAGTTTCAATTACTTCATCAATATGATTTAGGGTTTAATATGTTAAGACATATCAGAGCTTATTGTAATGCTTAGTACACTCAAGTGTGAACTATTACAGATGAAATTGGTTCTAGAAATTTGACAGAATGTGAAGAAAGTACAGGTTAAGCACTAGTTTTTGTTGCAAGGGGTTCTCTTGCCCTGAGGACACCGTGGAGACAGAAGCTAACCTGTATCTAGCCTAAAGCATGAGAAGTTGCCTGTGAACCTGTGGCTTTCAGGGTTTCTAAACATGTGATCAGTCCCAGGTTGTCCCAAGGGGTTCAGCCCCATTGGTATGCCTAAACTCCCCAAGTCTCTAGGATGTATCAGCCCCAAGAAGGTCTGCTGGGTTAGCAGAGAATTGGGGCAAGGGCCAAGAGGCCATCTTGTGGATGCCTCCATGGGGGCCTCTTCCCATACTTGGTAGGGAACTAAGTCTGCCCCAAGGGGAAGCACAGACTCCCAGAGAGTGGAGCAAAAGTCCCATTGTGTGTGGCCACTAGCTGCCTGGCCTTTAGCAACACATTTTATTGTTCTGGGACTTTGTTTCTTTATTTGTTAAATAAAGGATGATTTCAAAGGTCCCTGTCTGGCTGTAACATACTGTTCTTCTAAAATGTCCTATTTAATAAATTAGGCTTTATTAGGTTCAAGCACATACTTGTGTTACTACTCTTAAGTCATTTAAATTAGATTCAAATTAGGTTAACCAAGTGTTGCCCTCCAGAGAGCTAGGGACTAGGAGATAAGAATAATTCATAGCCTCTTATCAATCAGCAGCCCCTAAATGGGTGCTTCAAGGACTGCTTGAGCATGCTTTGAAAAGCACCACTTGTCTGTAATTTAAATATCCTCACTTTAATCTTCTTCACATCTTTCATTTGCTTAGCAAAACCTTTCTCTCCACATAGTCAGCGAGAAGGGCACTATCTTACTACTGTGAAGGGACTAAACATTTCTAGGCAGAGCAGCCTTTGATAACGTTGGGCTGACACAGTAATTGAGAAATCTCCTTTCTACAATGACATCCCTGTACTCTTCAACTATGCTGCCTTTAGATGTCTGGGGCTCCTAGGCAACTCCCTAGCTTTATTAACTGTAGCTGCCACCAAGGCTTCATTTCAGAGGGTCATTAACAACCCAAAACCCTTCCCAAAGAACCAGGTCCCTTACAGGCAAATGCCCCACACTAACCCAACTTTGCAGGCCAGGATCTCCATCTTGTCCTTTCTGATTCCTTTGCTCCCAGCCAGCTAGCAATCTCAAAAGCCAGAGGCATCTATCTCCTGGGCCTGCAGATGGAGAAACAGGAATGGGAGAAGGAGGTCTCCCATTGATGTGTCTGGATAGCTGTGACCCTTTTGCACACACACATACACACACACACACACACACACACACACACACACAATTATTGTGGCCTCAAAGCACCAAGTGAAACTGGCACTTGGCCTACTACTCCAAGGTGAGGCATGCCCAGGGGAGGATGCAATAAAAATTTCACATGGTGGATGTTTCCAGGAACCAGAAAACCTGTACTTTGAGCCTTCAGCTATTGCAAATGGATATCATTCATGGACAAAGCAACCAGAGAAAGCTGGCTGAGGCCCTGGCCAAACCCTCTCATGCTACACAAAGCTTTCTCAGGCAAGGTTCAAACAACGTGACTTTGATTCTATAATGAACCTAGTTTAATTGCTAATGCATTGTGCTCAAACATGGCTTCCAGCATGTATTTTCTTTCCTTCCTTGGACTCCATTGTTGGGGGATGAACTATGGGGAATGAAGTAGCATGGAAAAGGGTTTCTGGTTTTGTTGCTGTTGTCTTGTAGACAGGGTTTCTCTATGTAGTTCTGGCTGTCCTGGAACTCATTTGTAGACCAGGCTGGCTCCAAATGCATAGAAATCTGCTTACCTCTGTGTCCCGAGAGGGATTAATGGGTACACCACCACACTCAGCAAAGGTTGCTATTTTCTAACATAGGGTTTTGCTCTGTGTAGCTTTTCTTCCTGCCTCACCATCCTGAGTGATAGGAAATGACAGGCCTGCCTCATTATGGTCAGTGAGAAGAGATTTCTGACAGGAATTAAATATCCAAATGTCTCTGTAATAATCAGCTTCTCCTAAGTACTAAGTACTAAGGAAATAATATCAATAAAGTTATAGTACATATAGTACATATAGTACATTACATAGTAAATGATTATCGGGCGATCATTACCTAATATACAAAACACAAACAAACAAAAAAATCCCCATTATCCCACTATCCAAAGATAAGCATTTTGATGTACAATTTCCCATTGCTCCCCCACTGTATTTCTTTAATCTGGCAAAGAAACTCAAGCACAGCACAGCTCAGTTTCACAAGCTCTGTAAAGAAACCACTGTCTGTGTAATTGGGTCTATTCAGCAAGCAGAGAAAAGTGAGGCTCCTAAGGCTCTAGTGCAGAGCAGTGGTTCTCAACCTCCCTTACACTGTGACCCTT